CTAAGACTTTTATAATGAAATCTATATCTAAGCACACAATCATCCCCTTAAATTAAATGGACTATAATATAAATATTGGTTTTATACTCACACTCCTTTTCCTGCTTCCTGTTAGAGAGATTTCTCTTTGCTGTTTACTGTGGCATTGCAACCTGTTACTCAAACTTTCTTCATTTTTAGCTTCTCTTTCTTCTTTCTCATCTACTCCATTGATTTTGCTTTTCCTACTTGCCAATTGATGTCCAAGGAAGGGACCAAAATTCTCTGTCTCCATTCTGCTAAAAGCTACATCTGCATTTTCATCATAACATGTCACCAGTCTTTAATGTTCACCTGGGTTTTGTCTGGCCATGTGTGGTGTTTTCACCCTCCCCTTCGTTTCTGTGGAAATGTCAACACTTTTCTCACCTTTCAGACTTATATTGAGCAATATAGCAATAGGTAAATAGCATTGTTTACTATTACTGATCAGTTACACTTCCCAATTACTTCCTCTTTGTAGAACATGCCTACATGTTCTACAGGAGTGCAGAAATATACTTAATTTCAGTTGTAAAATGAAAAAAGATTTGGCAACACAATCCGATAAAATTGTCTCTAGCCAGAGCAAGCTCAAAATTCTAGCAGTCTCAAACTAATGACTTAGTTCATTTCTTCCCAGGAAATGTTTGAAATATTGTAGGAAAATTAATAAATCAGCTAACTTCCAAGGGATTTCTGCCACTCACAGATAAACCAATGATCATTTCAGGGACATATGATTTGGAGATAGCTGCAATCACTTCCAGTCCTGCTACTATATGACTCCATTGATATTTTAGATATTTTTTGTGGCACCTGGTAAAAATTCTTTGAAAAAAACACTTGTAGTCTCTTGCTAAAGCAACATATTTTATCTTGGCTTGCAGTAGAAAAAAGAGGAAAAGAAAATGCATTTCAAAAAAGGAGAGAATTATACTTCCACTATTTCTTATTCTAGGTCCGTTTCAGCCCTATACCTTTTCAACATGTGATGTCATTATAAAGCAATTTATCCTCTGGGAAATCAGTCTTTGGTAGAAAATGAACTTCCCTCAGCTATTTTAGGGCTCTGCTATCAGTATAGTGCTTCTGATTTGGTAATAAGCCTAATGAGATGGGACAATAATGGGTGACAAGATTCTCTAAAATACAACTTAATCACAGTGTTGATTTTATTTTTCTGTACTGCTTAGTCACAGGAAGTTGACAGAACTTGAATGATTGAAGTAGAGATAGGAACTTTTAATTCCCTCATTGAAAAGTCCTATATCTACTAAATTTGGCAGAATCGTGGACTTTCTACTCATTTTAATACAATAGCTTCATTTACATGATTTTGTGGCAATGGCTCATGAAAGTGGGAACAATACACCCAGCTTGGACTAGTGGCTAAGACACCAATGTAGATACCAGGAGATTGTGTATTCGAGTCCTGTTTTAGGCATGAAACGTAACTTTGGGTGGGCCACTGTCTCTCAGCTCAACTCACCTCGCAGAGTTGTAGGGAAAATAAGAGGAGGAAGGAGTGTTAAGCATGTTCGTCTCTTTGAATTATTTAGAAAAACAATAAAGTTGGTTTTTTTTTTAAAAAAAATGTTTTGTAATTGGATGGAAAAGGTTCAGGACCCTGGACAGTACCCCTGGCTTTAGAGATTCTTGAATGAAATTTATTAAAAGTTATGACAGATGATCTTGCAAGAATCCTATGGAACTGTAAAGAAAGAGACAAATAACTCCAATACTACTCTGAAGGTATTCTTTTATAGGTAGCCTTTTATATTTTGAGCAGAATAATCCTTCTCAGAACCACAGAATTGAATTTGCATCTTTAAAGCCAGCACTTATGTTTTCTGCAGCTGTCATGCGACCTTCCAACCCCCAAAATGTTTTCATTCTGAATTCCATTTATTTCAGCTAATAACTTCCTAGAATTCTCAGCTTGATATTCCCTTAGATTTCCTAGCATTTTTAGTCTGAATTCATAACAAAACACAGGTCTTTCATCTGAGCACTGAAAAGTCCTCAAAATGTTGAGTCAGAAGCATTAATAAGCAGCTGAAAGAAGGTCACTTTGACATAATGCCATTTCCATATTGCCAGGCTGGGGAGACAGAACATATTTATTAGTCTACTTTTTATAAAGAGTCGTTCTTTTGGCATTTATATAAGTAAAGATAATATTTCGGGGGATGGGTGGGTATTTGCAAGGCTGTAATAAACCAAGAAATCTTGAGGAATGACCATGAGAATTTCATCAGCTTTATAACACAATTGTACTATTGATTTACTCTGATAATAAGTGAGTTTATATCTTTGACAAAAATGCACCAATATTTCTTTACCAAACCACATTGGTTATACTGTATTTGTATGATGTGCCTGTTTATGGTTAACAATGGTTTAATCAATAATCCAACTGCCTATATTGAACCATAAACCTGAATATATGAGTGGAGTACACACATTATTTTTACAATAATTTTATTGAAGTTTGCAAATACAAAGATAAAAAACTAATACAACCTAAGGAAAATATAAAAAGAAAAGAAAAAAAAAGGAAAAGAAAACATATAAAAGATTATTCCCCTCTGTCTCTAGACAAATATGAACAATTTCATGAACTTAACATCTTCTCTATATTTCAATTAAAAAGCTCTTTTCTTCCATATCTTATTCATTATCAAACAAATAAAAACCCATAATTCAATTCTAATCAGCAAAATTCAGAAATATTAACACACCTATTTTAATTTTAATCAAAAAATCCATTTTGTAATCTAATATTGTTCTCTAAGAAACAAAGTGAAAAATCTTTCCACTTATAAACAGATCCTTACAGCCTCGCCATTCAATTTCCATTAACAACTACCAGAAACCACAATTTATATATTTTAATCCTGATCAAATTGATTCACTTTGTAGATGTTCTGTTTACCTTTAAAAAGCTTGATCCTTATTTGCATTAAGTAATGTCCCACAGGTTGAGTTCTTATCATTTTCTCTTTATCTGCTCTGAGAAAGTTTCCTTTGTTTCATACTTTCCTTTTAGAAATCTGAGATAAGAAGGTCTTCCACGTTCTTCTTTATTATTATTATTTATTTATTATTTGTAAGTATCTTTAATTATTAAGACATCAGCTGGGTTCATTTGTAAATCATTTTGTCATCTTTTTCCATATCACTCTAGCATTTTGAAGTCCATTTTCACATCCACAGCATGTTTTTCCATATCATTTTTGTAATCCATCATCTCTTTTGAATTCCAATTCTACACTCAAATCTGAGTCTTTGTTTTATCCAATAAAATTTGTTTTAATTTTGTTTCATCCAATAAAATCTGTTGTTATTATATATCCTTTTCTACAACAGTTCAACTATAAGATAAGCATCTTGAAACAACATATGGCTAAATTGTTTCCCAAAACAATAAGGCTTTGCTGTGACCATCAATAGAAGTAAGTAGTTTACTTAATCAGTATTGGTTATATTTAGGACTTATATTTGGTTGTTTTAACATTTATTATTTAGACTTGGTCTGCAATTCAATATTTATTGATCGGTTGGTTTTTAGTTTGTAGTTTAGTGTGATGTGCAGCCTCTGACATTATGATTTAGCATGCCATAGGAACCAGACTATTTTTTACTTGAGATATGTTTTATGACAACCTTTTCAAATCTGGTCTTTTCAGACATGTTGTCTCTAATTCTCATTATCTTACATAGCCCAGTTATCTTAGGATAATACAGCATGATGATTTTCTGACATAGGTACGAATATGCTGGGGGAAGAATAAATTGATACACAAAAATATATGAAAATGTCCATGTATGCATTTTGGAAATAGCACCAACTATTGGAACTAAAATAATAAACCTGAGAATAAATGTGGAATAACAGAATAACAGGACAAAAGAAAAATAATATAAAAATTTCAGAGATACAATGACTAAAATTTCTTGTTACATATAATACTAACATACAAGATGAGTTTAGAATAAGTTCCAACACAGATATTTTATTTTCTTCTGTTTTGAACATTTTTTTCTACCAACAATTATCTGAAGCTATAGGGCATAGCAGATTTATTTATGAAGCATAAAATTCCATATGAGAAAGATCAGATCTGAAGCTAAAGAAGAACAGTGAAAACTAAAATAAATATTTTAATAAAGAAAGAAAAATATTACAACTTTACTGCATAGTTTACTACATATGGGTCCAGAGCTCTCAAATATGACATTAAACAGAAGGTACAAACATCTTTGGTAGTTCATAAAAAGTATTTCAGTTAGAAATTAATTATAGGACATTAATTTCTAACAGAAATACTTTCCTATAGAATAGAAATAACACAAGATGGCACACAATAGATGTAGTCAATGAACAGAAGCTGCTTGAGACCCACAGAAGGAATTCATTTATGAGTAAACTCTCCTTTTGTGAAAAGAAATTCCTTTGAGGTGAGTTGAAAATACTGGATGCCAATTATAATGTCTGATTTCAAATTGGCACTTTTCATTTCTATTGGAAAAGTTTATTCATTCTTGATTTTGACACAATTTTTCATCTCTAACAATTTCAGCAGATCAATTTTTTAATCTGTATGACTTGCTGCTGAAATTATGGTATATGGCAGGGGTGGGTTGCTACCAGTTCACCCTGGATCATGCGAACTGGTAGCGGCAGTGGCGGGAGGCTCTGCCCACCCACCTGGACATCTCTGTGCATGCACAGAAGCATCGCCCGTGCGTGATGAACGCGCGTATGCCCTTGAGTGAACTGGTAGAGACGGGATTTGAATCCCATTACTGGTTTATGGCTGGATGTTTTCAATTTTAATTCTTGAGCCCTTCTTTGAAATGAAAACTGAGATGGCTGCACATATTTCAAATATTTTTCAAAGTATGGATTGACAATACTTCTAAACAAACGCTATTCAACATAATTTGCAAATAGGAAATAAACAGATTCTGTTATGGATTGCTGCAGGTGTTCTGTTTTACGTTCTTTTTGTATGGCTGTGATGAAAAGTGATAATATAATGAAAATAATATTACTGAATAAAGCTCTTATGACATTCTGTTTGCTGGTAGCTTGTGTATGTTTCTGCCTTAAAATGCACTTGTAAAAATCAACCTTTTAAACATGTGTATTCTTTGCATCTTTTGGAAATAAAGACAAGATGAATTATTTGCATAAATCAAGATTTAAAGTACGTTTAGTACATTAGATCCATTGCTCCATTTGGTGCCTCAGAATTTTTTGATTTTGAAAAAGGAAATGCAAATCCAGCCAGGCGTATAAGCAGAATGTTCATAAAGTGTACTAATGAGCACACCAGGATGATCCAGAAGGATTTTGCAAACTGCTCACTGTGAGTTTTAAAAATAAAACTTCCTTCTTTATAATTAGCTATTTTCTCAGAGAGGTGGTGGATTTTCACTTCTGAAGAAAACAGTATCAAAATAAGAAAGCCACAAGAAACTGAAAAAGAAAGAAATGCAAAATTAATATTTGGTCAAATTTTCAACCTAATTCTACAACATTTGTTGTTATACTTCAACATTTATCAATGAGCTCTTCTGTCTATTTTTTTAAGAGGTTGGGTCCCAGTTGAAGCCAATAATTAATAAGAACAGATAATTATAATTTGATTTTGCTCTATTTCTTCCCTACCTTTTCTCTAAATATATCTGTTTGAAGTCCACACTCCACTGAGTTTCACCTGGTTTGTGTAGCCTGCCAGCTTCATCTGACAGATACCCTTTCTTGCTCTATTTGGTACTTGCTTGGATTAAAATGAGTGTTCCAATTCATGTATTAAAGGGTGAACATGCTAACTCTAGCTTTTTTCTTCTTTATAAATGAAACAAAACTCCCCCAAATCTGTTTGTGCATGAAAAATAAACTGTATTAATCTGTTTGAATGGTAATGTTTGTTGAACTATATCTTTCCCACTGCTTGTAAAGCAAGTGTGCTTGCTGAGCTAATTCTATTCCCTGTTGCTTGAGACAGTCATAAATAGCTTTTTTTCCTAAGAGCAAAAACTAAGGGTATAATGTTCTATGTATGCCAGAGCTCTGTTTAAAGATTCTTTAGAAAAGAAGTTTTGCCCCTGTAGATGATGCTTCCAGCTTCCCACAGTACAACTTGGTCCAAAGGATTGCATAGTCCTGTCCCAGTGTCTGGAAGCTGTAAGGGTATGGATTGCAATGGATTTTGACTGAACCCAAGCAAGAACGAGTGCTTTGGGTATTTGGGCCTTACATTGATACGTTTTTCCCCACTGTTGTTCCTAGATGGGGTGATTCTGCCCCAAATGGATCCAGTGTGCAGTCTATAGTCAATAACTGTAGACTCACATTCCTGATATCAATTCTTGCCTTGGATTGATCCCTGGCTGTATACAAATGTACCCAAGGATTTACATGCACATGAGAATGAAGGATTTATTCAGACCATGGTAAGGTATAGTGAGGCTGATTGTTGTGCAAGTGGAAAGCCTTCTAATTTTCATGGAGAATGTGCAAGAATCATTAATCAATATATGCCTTCGGAAGCAGGTGCTAGAAAGTTTAAATAATGAAAATGTTTTTATTTAAGGATACAGTTTTGAAGTTTTATAACTCAGAGAGTTATATTTAAATTTAAACCAAGGTTTATTTTAAATTCAAGCTGGATTTTGCTTGCTAGTTTGTAGTTCTGCGCATTATGTAGTTTTGTACTTTGCCAATTTTATATAAGCTATTTTATTCATTTTTAAAAATTGTTTTATAAAATAAAATTACATTTTAATCTCTAGCACATATAACAGTGTAGTGTTCTTTTGATAACTATTGTAAGTGTTTGTAGCATTTCAAACTCTCAATTTCCAGCAGGGCTATAGTGTGAGGGGAAGAGTGACTGTGAGGGGAGAGCGAGGGGAGGGGAGGGCGAGGGGTGGGGCCAGTCAGTGGTGGGATCACCTGACAGGGAGCCACAGCAGAGGACCCAAACAGCCACATGTGGCTCCGAAGCCGCAGGTTGCTGACCCCTGCACTAGGTGAATCCATTACCCATAAAAAAAAAAAAATAGAAGGAAGGGAAACGATGACTGCTTACACTAGATGGAGATGTTGAGGCTGTAACAATCACAACTGGAGTGATTCTCTTAACAATTGTCAAAATACCAAGTTGGATTGCATGTGATGATGACAACATATTGAGTAGAAAGCATCAGTTTAAAAAGAAAAAAAAACCTGTTTTTTTAATGTTAAAAAAAAAGAATAACCAGCAAAAAAAAAAAATTGGGGGAACATATAATAACTGTCCACCTCATCTTACATGAGAATCTGGTAAATGAATTTATATCTACATGCCAAAGTATTACTGGACTTACCTGAAATGAAGCTCCACAGATAGAGTCCTAATGGACCATGTAAGGTTTCATAAGGATTGCCAAATGCATTGTACATGAAGAAGCCGGTTGCAATCAGTGCAAAGACGAATAATGCCAAGCAAAATAGGATGACACTTACATGGATACTTGCAGGCATAATTTTGAATAATTCTGGAAAAACTAACAGAGTGGGAAAATATTTATTATTTATAAAATCTGAAAAAATAATGCAGAAAAATATTCATTTATTTATCTATGACACTGCATGTTGCCTCCATCAATCATTGTGGCTGGAACAGGGAATTAACTATCAACGTGGAAGGAATCTTGATAAGCAAGGCAAGATGTTTTTGTAACTTATTTATGATTGAGGATTGAAATTAAATAGAAGTATAGATAAAATAGACAACTATATGAAGATAGTAAAACTGATATAACAGAGGACATATTGTCAATGTTTATGTTTTAATACATATCCATTTTACGAGAAAGGTTTGCAAATTAAATGTAGTTTGGTATCATTTAAGCTCCTTTTGTTTCATCACTGGAACAAAACTCACATATTCAAACCTGACGAGACACATCAATCCACCAATCAGCATTCCTACATTTCCTAACATGGTTTCTTCCAGAAGAGCTAGACTTCACTCCAGTGGTGGGATTCAATTTTTTTTTCTACCAGTTCTGTGGGCGTGGCTTGATGGGCATGGCAGGGGAAGGATACTGTAAAATCTCCATTCCCACCCCACTCCAGGGGAAGGTTATTGCAAAATTCCCATTTTCTCCTGATCAGCTGGGACTTGGGACACAGAGAATAGATGGGGGCAGAGCCAGTCAGAGGTGATATTTACCGGTTCTCCAAACTACTCAAAATTTCCACTACCAGTTCCCGAGAACTGGTCAGAACCTGCTGAATACCATCTCTGCTTCAGTCCCAAAATTTCTATCCAGCAGCACAGTCATATATAGACAATATTGTTTATTTTCTCTAGGTTACTCTCCATTATTTAGTGTACAGGTACTCCTCAAATTACAACAGTTCATTAAGTGAACAATGGCACTGAAAAAAGTGATTCATGACCATTTCTCCATACTTATGACCATTGCAGCATCTCCATGGTAACATGTTCCAAATTCAGATCCTTGGCAACTGACTCATATTTATGATGGTTACAGTGTCCTGGGGATATGTGATCATCTTTTGCAAACTGATAAGCAAAGTCAGTGGGGAAACCAAATTCATTTAACAACCTGGTTTCTAACTTCACAACTGCAGTGATTCACTTAACAACGGTGGCAAGAAAGGTCGTAAAATGGAGCAAACTCACTTAACATGCTCGCTTTCTTGCCAATGTTGTTAAGTGAATCACTGCAGTTGTTAATAACATGGTTATTAAAGGAATCTGGCTTCTTCATTGATTTTGCTTATCAGATCAAAGATGATCACATGACCCAGGATACTGCAACTGTCATAAATACATGCCAGTTGCCAAGCATCTGAATTTTGATCACATGACCACAGGGATGCTGCAATAGTCCTAAGTGCAAAAAAACCAGTGATAAATCACTTTTTACAACTTTGCCTTTATAACTTTGAATGATTGCTCGTTGAATGCTGGTAAGAGGACTACTTGTATAGTTTAATTTCCAAATGATTTAAATACAGCATGCATTCCACAGATGGTGAGTTTTTGTTTGTGAATCATATCCTAATTTGGTTCAGCCTTACTAAACATATTGTATATTAATATATAGCAAGAAATGCACTATTTATCTAAAATATATGTAGTCACATAATGGCTCTAAAGGCAATGTACAAGTAGAAAACTATTTAGGCAGAATAGTTTGTGGGTTAATCTTTCTACTGATTTTTAAATACCTCTGCTGAGTTAGCCACAACACATATTTTAAAATGATTTGTAGAATACAAGATAACTGCTCTTAGTCCACAGGGGTATGATTAAACTGGTGCTAATAATTCCTTAGAATTGCTTGGCTGTGGTTAAAACATGCTGAGAAAAAGCAATGTAGGTACTGCAAATAAATTTATATAGCACATATAATATAAATTATCTGCAACTCCATTTGAACTCTCTAATTCCATCAACTGGCTTGAGATTCATGCACTTCATCTTAATATTATAATTTGCTGGTGGAGTAATGGTGCAGTAGACTGTGCTGTTGGGCTTAAAATGCAGATTTCTAGAACATTCCCTTACTTTGAAATGAATTCTAGTCGTCAATATTGCAAATTAGATCGTTGCCCACGAGTGGAAGGCTTAGATGTACTGGTGTAAAAACATTAATTACTTTTTCAATTACAAGCACAATTCAATGTCCTGTCCTGATCTTAATCTCTAAAATCTGTGTAAATTTGGATCCAGTTATCAGAAGGACAATGTCTTCTCCGACAAGCCTGCCTGAACATGTCAGATCATTATCGAAGCTTTGTCTCCAAGCTTTTACTCTTCAAGAGGCAAGACAGGTGCTAAGTGAAGAAATAGTTGTTTCAAATATGCTCTTTCCCCATAAAGATTTGTGTGACACCATTTTGTTCCTTTTTCACACAATTCCTTGTTCTGAGAATTGTTTCTGTTGCTGTTCCCCCCACCCCGTTTGATTTATAAGTTTCTGGGAGATTTAGTTTAACCTGAAGAGCAGTATCTTCTTTAAATAAATATCACTATCCTACCACTAAGAAAACTAATATCACGGCATCCAACCCTCTCAGTTCCTGACAAATAGATGTGGAAGAAATGGAGGTAGTAACAGATTTTATTTTCCTGGGCTCCAAGATCACTGCACATGGGGACTAGAGCCAAGAAATTAAGACGCTTGCTCCTGGGGAGGAAAGCTATGGCAAATCTAGATAACATACTAAAAAGCAGAGACATCACCCTGCCAACAAAAGTGTGTATAGTCAAGGCTATAGTTTTCCCAGTTGCAATGTATGGCTGTGAAAGTTGGACCATAAGAAATTTTGGTTGAGCGCCAAAGAATTGAGGCCTTTGAACTATGGTGCTGGAGAAGACTCCTGCAAGTCCCTTGGACTGCAAGGCGATCAAACCAGTCAGTCCTAGAGGAGATCAACCCTGACTGCTCTTTAGAAGGCCAGATCCTGAAGATGAAACTGAAATACTTTGGCCACTTAATGAGAAGGAAGAGCCTAATGCTGGGAAAGATTGAGGGCAAAAGAAGAAAGGGACGGCAGAGAAAGGGACGGCTGGATGGAGTCACTGAAGCAGTCAGTGTGAGCTTAAATGGTCTCCGGGGGATGGTTGAGGACAGGAAGGCCTGGAGGAAAGTTGGGTCGTGATGGGTCGGACAAGACTTCGCAAATAACAACAACAACATCCTACCACTTCTGCATTCAATAGCTAATCAGGATAAACAGACTATAACAATAAATTAGTGAAACAGCTTGCCTTCAAATGTTGTGGGTGCGTCATCACTGGAAGCTTTTAAAAAGAGACTGGACAGCCATTTGTCTGCAACGGTATAGAGTCTACTTCTTGAGCAGGAAGTTGGACTAGAAGACCTACAAGGTCCCTTCCAACTATTATTCTGTTCTGTTCTGTACTATCGCAAATAAATAAAACAAATAAAGTCACAAAATTTATCTACTGTGGGTTAGGATAAACAAAAGAATATTTTGATTGACTTAATAAAAAGCTGGTAAAGTTTTTAGAATTTAATAAAAAACTGTGAAGATTTTAAAATTGTAAATATGCCTATGTGCACTTCTCTGGAAATGAGGCAACTGGATAAAGAAGCTATTGCTAAAGATAGATAAAAAATTGGATGCCGTGATATCTATTTCAACTGATCTTCCATGGTTTAAGTAATTGTACTCCTTTCAAGGATACTTATAGAGATAATTGTTCAAACGTTAAAGTAATCAAATGTCTAAGGCATCTAATTTTGCAGCATGTGTCAATGAAAATATCCTACTTTACAGCAGGGGTGAAATCCAGCAGGTTCTGACAGGTTATGGAGAACTGGTAGCGGAAATTTTGAACTGTTCGGAAACCTGGTAGTGGAAATGTTGAGTAGTTTGGAGAACTGGCAAACTTCGGCTGGCCCAGAGTGGGGTTGGAATGGAGATTTTGCAAAAGCCTTCCTCCAGGAATGGGAGGGAATGGGGATTTTGCAGTATCCTTCCCTCAGGAGTGGGGATGGAATGAGATTTTGCAGTATCCTTCCCCTGCCATGCCCACCAAGCCACACCACACCCACCAAGCCACGCCCACAGAACCAGTAGTAAAAAAAATTGGATTTCACCACTGCTTTACAGGCATATCCAAAGATTTACGCTGATGATGTTGGGAATTTCAGTGATCTGCCATATTCTAATTTATCTTGATATAAGTGATGAGCTCAATGTAGCAGAATGCACAAAACAGCACGGCTAAAAACTTTAGCTAAAAACTTCAAGCTAAGCATTCAATAACTGACTTCAGGAATTTGGCCTTCTAAATGTATTTGGACTTTCTCCCACCATACCAACCTAGAATTTAGGTCACCACACATCGTGGCATCTGTAGTCTTAGCACACAATTAAAGCAACATATAGCAACCAGGTGCCTGATGGATCCTGATAGGTTCCAGATGAAGCTTGGGCCATTTCTTGAGATTCTGGCTCATGACTCGGCTGAAGACTTGGTGACCGCTTGGGATAGTGCAGCCGCTGGGGCTTTGGACTGCATTGTGCCTTTGCGGCCTCTGACCCGGCACTGAACTCGCCTAGGTCCTTGGTTCTCCGAGGAGCTGAGGGAGATGAAGTGCCGGAAAAGATGCCTGGAGAGTGGTTGGAGGACCAGCTGCTCCAAATCTGACTGAACACTGGTGAGGTCTCATATTAAGACCTACCTTGTGGCGATAAAAGCGGCAAAATCTAGCTATTTTTCCACTCTTATCACGTCATCAGATAACCGCCCAGCTGCCCTGTTTAGAGTGACCCGCTCTCTCCTCCATCTGGGAGCGCGGGATGATCCCTTGCAGAGTCGAGCTGAGGATTTTGTCCAGTATCTGTATGATAAAATCACTCAAATTCAGGAAGGCTTGGCCTCTGACTGGGTAAGTCCGGACGGAATGATTGAGGCAGGTCTTGAGAGTGTTATCTGGGAGGAGTTTGATCCTGTGGCTCCCGAGGACATGGACAGGATTCTGGGATGGCTGAA